CCTCCCATTAGATGGTTGCAGGCAGTGATAAGATGCCCCCTAACCTTCCCTCCCACTATGCAAACCCAGATCTCAAATGCCCCGTCCTCCAGTTTAGTGGCCCCACTGAGCTCACTCCCATCTGCCACCATCTGGTACTGGGAGCCTGAACTGGACCCAGTGCCTAGACATGGCCTCACCAGTGCTCAACACCCACCTGCACCCTTACCGAGACAACCCTGGATGCCTCCATCCTTCACCACAGCATAGGCATCCATCACCAACCCATCCATCAGGACCCGGAGCAGGATGCTCCCAGCTCTCCTTGCCCTGCTCACCTGTCCTGAATTTGTTGTAAGTGCCGCTCTCCAGCATCGGGCCACCATCATGGACACAGCAGGAGAAACTCCGCTCTCGCCACCTGCGTGGGGCAAAGCACCTGGGTCAGGCCATCGCTTGCTGTGGTTCCCCTCACAGCTCCCTGGTGCCCTGGACACCTTTTTTCTACTTTGTCAGGGCAGGAACTGCCCTGGTATTTTGGGATTTGCTCAGCTCCTTACCGAGAAGGGACTCCAGTGCATGATTGATGTCTAAGCATCCACACTTCACGTGTGCAACAGCATTTTGAAGGCAACCTTGTGACTAAGCCCTGTTTTCTAAGAAATAGTTAAGAGCTCAAAAGTCCCAGAAATGTTTGCAGCCACTGGTTTCTAGGCAGCCAGAGAAATTAAAAATTGTAATTTTGGTGCATTCATAAACCTGACAAACAAGACCATGCAGGGCTTTCAGGTGCTGCTGATGGCAGGGCTGGGAATGCCCCTGCTGCAATGCCAGCCCAGAAGAGGCTGTTATTTGGCTGGATCAGAAGCAGCTGCAGGGCCCTGGGAAATGCACACACAACATGAACAGGAGCCTGGAGGACACAGGCATGGGAGGGTCTGACCGCGGTGGTGATGCATTGCAGGGGTGATTGCGAACCACCCTGCAACCTGCAGCCTTGAAAGGAAGCTTCTAAAGCAGGACCTGGGGAAAGACTGCTGAGAGCAGGGCAGGGTAAGAGGGGAAACTGTGCCTGTCCCATGAACCCCAGTTTCCTCAATTATTAAACAGAGGCAATGTCTTTGATGGCATGGGAGGAAACAACATGTGGTGTCTGAGACACACTCAGACATTTTCATCTGGGAGGATGGATTTCCTCAGGGGCTCTGGCATACGCAGACACCGCACAGGGTCCTCAAATATTAACACTGAGGGCTTTCCTCCTAAGTCAATCCAATGCAACACTGTATATATAAATAGTAAGAATAGAAAAATCAGTTCCTTTCTCAGCCCATCAGCTTTGGTAACTGGTTTGTGTTGCTACTGTAAATCCACCAGGTCTCCACTGGATCCTGAGGGTAGGTGATGCCTGAGCTGCCAAAATGGAAACGGAAAATGAGAGCAAGGAGTAGCAGAGAGGTTTTTGGAGACTTTTAGGGCTTTCTTCTGGTTCCTGAAGGGAAAAGAAATGTTCTCAAAAGTAGTTTTAACCCTTCAGATCACCTGAAAGCATCCCTCCTTCCCTCCACCTGGTGCAAAAGATCAGGTTAGCATGGCCATTAGCAACTCAGTAGTTACCAGTGCAGAGCAAAGATGAGTGAGATGAGGAGCACAGAGGTCAGATCAGTCAGGATCCACATGATGTTGTACTGCTGCGGAGTCTGGAAAAGAACAACGGAGGATGTGTCCACCACCAAGGAGCCCGAGCTATGCAAGAAAGTTCCTCAAACTTTCTTGCTGCTTGACTATAGCAATTCTGCAGCCTGGTGTGCATGTGCAGTAACATCTCTCGGGTGCTTAAAGCATTTGGTGGCATTTCAAAGTGGCCACCCCCTAGTAGGTGTTGGTGCCAAATCATCATCTCTCATAAAAGCAGATCTGCTGGGTGGCCAAGAAGATTGGACCACATCACAGTGAATTTAAGAGGGACCTATTGTTTGTACAGGCAGGCCCTTTAGTTCTCTCTGCTCCCCTCCAAAATTAACGTCAACTGGTGGCATCTCATTTTCCCTGGCAAAATTGTCCTTTAGTGAACACCACAGAGGGTCTGGGGTGGCTCCTGCTTTAAGTCTAAAAGCATCTGAAGATTAATCTTGAGACTGGACCTCCACCCACCCTCAGAATGGACTGAAACACTGCAGTTTTCTGGATGCGTGCATCATAAAAATCTGCTTCAAGAGTGTGAAGCCAGGTATTCAAAGTAGTAAACTTTAGGCTGCAGGGACTCTGGTGGGACCAGTGCTCCAGGTGCTCCTTAGCCCTACAAGTTGTCCAAGGCAGAATAGGGAATAGACAAATTATGTGGAAAAAAATTCCTCCCAGCAAGGAAGGGTTATTTCTATGGTTGTTTCCCTTGGGCTTGTGGCACCAGACCAAGTCTGAGAAGGGTGGTGGGAGGCCCTGGGAAATGAGGGACTTCTGATATCAATAAGGTGCTTCAAAAGCTTAGAAATGGAAATCCTCTTGCATTAGCTACATGTGCTCTCAAAGGCTCTTCCTTTCTCCCCACACAGGTCTCGATATGACTTCTTTTCCCTCATCTCAAGGTCTAAGTTGCAAATCCTAACAAGTAGGTTGCTTCTACCTGGGCCAAGAGAAAAGAGGAGAAGGGTATGGTGATACCTGGAGTGGCTCACAGGTGCCAGCTAAGCCAGGTTTCAACTCAGGTCCTTTTCACGCAAAGAGTCATCTCCCTTATCCATGCATGAACTGGCCTGTGGTCTCCAAAGGTAACCATGAACATCCCAACCCTACTTCCTATCCCTGGGAGGGGGAGGGTTTTCACTTACCATGAGGAAGAGTGGCTGGCTGAGATTCTTCAGGGTGTGGACGGCATTGGTGGTCACAGAATGTGCCCCAGAGCACCACGCCAGGGAGAAAAGCCATGGCTCATTGACCACATAGAGGTTGGTGGTGATGTTTGCTTCAGCGTATTTCCTTTAAAAGACCAAAAGGCAATAGACTTCCTTAAGAAAAGCAAGGAGGACAGTACTCCCTTTGAGCTGAATCAAGGAGAAATGACAATTCTCTATAGGAAAGGCTTGCTTTAGGACCTAAATAAAGAATAGAAAAGGCGTCCAAGCAGCCAATAATTACTCATTCACAATTGGCCAATACAGAATACCTGATCTGCTGGAGACAAATGCAGTTAAAATGTCCAACAGGTCAAAACTTTGCTTGCCCCTCTGCCATATGGAATGATGCAATGATGCGCTTGTCATCTCCCAATAGTGTGTTTGAAACCACCTTGAAGATGGCTACTCATGTTCGTTATGTTTGCAGCATCAGCTGGTCACTTGTCAAGTTCTTATAAGCTATTAAAACTTAATATGAAGAGAGACCATTCTCTGTACAATGCTAAAGGACTGTATCCTCAGTATCAGCATTTGTAAATCTACCTAGGATCTACCCAGGATTTACCCACATGGATCTACCTAGGATTTTAAATTCTGTGAAAATTACCATTGAGAAAACATGAACATTACTCTCATCCAAAGAATTAAACTTTTTTTTTTCTTCCTTTTTAAAAATTAGAGTTCAATATTTTTGCACACAGGAAAGAGCAAAAAAAATTGTATTTACAAAAGGAGAGCTGGATGGGTAAGACTTCGGGTTTTTTTCCTTTCATTTTTTTCTTTTTTTTTCCTTTTTGTTTTTCCTTTTTGTTTTCCTTTTTTTCCCCCCCCTTTTTTTTTTTTTTCTTTTTTTTTTCATATGAGAAACATTTTGGAAACTCCTGCAATGAATGTGGAGCCTTTCATTGGAAAGATATTTTCAGTGCGTCACAAGCAACAGAGTACTGGTAGCAACAGAGACAAGAAATGAAGTTTCCAAAACACCAGCTACAAGAGGGTGATGGTCTCTCACCACGGCATTTCACACTCACACTGGTGTTTGTGGAAGAACCACGGGACGTTAAATAGTTGTTCATTCTCCATGATTCAGTGTTGGTGGGACTGGGGACGGCATGAAGAGAAAGACAAGAAATCAGGAGACAACTGTGTTATTCTGCCCAGAAGATCCTCAGATCCTGGTCAAGTAAATACAGACTTGGAAGCAGGGGAGTGTAATTACATATGCCACCTCTTGGCCACACACAGGGTCAACAGTAGGAGTGAACTGCTGTTCTTCACCTCCAAAATGCAACAGACATGGCTGCTTGATCTAAAGGAGCTCTTCCTAAAATGCTATAGATGCTGGAGCTGGTCACTGGAGGGAGACATTGCCACACACATGAGGCAAATGTACACCAGACGCAGTCCACCGACTGTACTTGGGGCTGAAACTGCAACCTACCGGATATCTTCACTGGACATTTCAGTGTAGGCCAGATTGAGTTTGACAATATTGTCCATCAATAGGTCTTCAACGGGGGCCTTACTGCCCATTGTCTGCTGAAACCCAGGAGCAACAGACTGAACAAAGGACCTCATGTCGTTCTCCAGCCATAAGACCTGCAGGCAACAAGAGGACCCAGTGAATTCCCAGAGGACTTACTAATATGCCCTGCCCTTCGCACAAACCCAGTAAAGATAAGGTCTTGAGGAGCTTAACCCAGCCTGCCAAATGATGTATTTCTTTCAATGATCGAAGAACATCTGGATGCAGGGTTAAAACTTGCAAGTCACTTTCATCAAGAAATAAGTAGTCACTGTTCCTTGCTTATCAACTTGAAATCAGCGGGTACATTTCACACAGCCCAACAAAAGATGCGGTGTTTGAAATGGATGAAAAGACAGCTTTGGTTTATGGGAAAGCCAACAGAAAATATTCTGTTCTCCCATTCTCCCAGCATGGGAGAAGAGAACTTCAGCAGATACAAATCAGTGTAACTCCCCAGAAATCAATGGATACATAACCTGATCCACATGGATTTAGCATCCATCCCAAGCAAGGAATTCCCTGGGGAAGGAGGAAGGCAATGAAGGCTCCCAGCTCCCTGTATTTTAGTTTAAGCCAGGAGTTTCTATACAATATATAAAATAAGCATGGGCGGGAGGGAGTAGGCTGCCAGTCATTACAGTGACGAAAGGATGCCGTCTGGGGGCTAAGGCATCAGCTGGTATATACACTGGCTTATTTCCCTGACCTGCTGTAGGGTTACACCATTTTGTACCTGCTGAGGAACCGATAGTAGGAATATACTCCACATGTTACCTCTTAAGTGAAATGAAAGGGACTGGAATTTATGCAGGTGAAATCATGCAGGGTATGACCCCAAAGTCCAAATTCAGAGAGCAAGAAAAAAGGCTACAGAGGAGTGAGGCCACACTACCAGATGGGGTCTAATCCCCGACTCGTTGAGGATGACTTCCAGGGTTCTGTTGATCCAGGAGTTCCTGTAAGGATGTTTCTCTGGAGGGCGGTAGAGATCAAATATCACAACTTTATTCTGACTGTCTGCGAGGCGCAAGAAATTACTTAGCTTGTAAATTGACTGATTCATTGCCTGGTTTTGATCTGCCCTTGACAGTGAGCCCATGCATGAAAATGGTTTGTCCTAGAAATAAACAGATATAAGAAAGGAAATCAATCAGGCGGTTGCCTCTGGGAGTCAGCTGCATGCAAAAACCTCATATCTCTAAAAAGGAAAAAGCTTGACATCAGCCCTCAGTAAGGCGAGGATATTTTATTTTGCTTAGCTCCTCTACCTGAGAAACAAGGGACATTAACCCAGGCTGTGACGACACTGCTTCTGGGACCTAAATTGTGCAGTTCACAGCTAGCTCTGCTGTGTTTCTCTGTCCCACCGTGTTAGCTGTGACTGTTACCCACAGCACCTTGCACAAGTAGCTGTTGTCTTCTTCCCCTATACCATGTGTTCTGCTGCTGCCATGACAAGGAGCCAGAAGAACACCCACCCACCAATTGTTATAGGTCTCCTAAGCCTAAAAGCCAACTGGACAAAGCAAGGAGACCCCAACTAAAGGATTTCTACTGACTTCTCTGAGTTTTGGCTCAACCGGTAGTTCCTCTCCTAACATGCATGCTATTAAGTAGCAGCCAGCTGGTGTCTTTTCTACATCCAGTTGATGATAGTCCTTTACGGCGCTTACCTTAAGGAACCATGTTCCAGCATTCAACTCCTGCAGGGTATCCCAGGAGAATAACGCAGCATTTTGAGCAGTGTCATTGGGGTAGACTTCCTTGATATTAGTTGTCCTCCTCAAGGTACTGTCATGCATGAGGAAAGGAACCCCATCATAGCTGTTGGAGAGCAAGAGTTCAGGTCACCTGGGGTGCAGGTTCATTCATGGCATGAGCAGACTCACGGCAGGTCAAAAGAATATGTGGGCCATCGTGAATGCAGCAGTACAGGCTCCCTCAGTGAAGAGGGTGGGATAGGGAGGAAGGCTGCGGCTCAAGACACCAGGTTATTTCCAGCTTAAATACTGCTGGGTGACCTTGGAGAAATCATGCCTGTCTGTGCCTCAGTTTCCTCAGGGGCAAAGTGGAGATGGTGGCATTTATGCCTGCTAGCCCCCCCAAAATGGATAGTAACTTATGGTTGAAATGTCTTTTTTCTGATACCAAAGTGTTTCTATGGCTTTCAGAAGACTGAAGTGTAAATGCACAGTGATGGAAAGGTCTCTTACAGAAAGGTCTACATTACCAGACCACCTAAGCATTAGAATTTTTCTCATTCAGTGCCTGGAAACTGCTCATCCTGCACAGCATGTTAGCAATTCATGGCAATGGGTCCCCCAAACAAAGGCAATTAAAGATCTAATAATTAGGACAATGCTGTCACAAGTCTGAACACAACCTTCTGTTGGTTTGTAGGCCTGATACAACCCGCACCGTGGCCTGGAAGTCAGACTAGGGTAGGGACTTGTCTTTATACTCTGCAAAGCATTTAAAATATACTGTAGAAATAGTGATTGTTAAATCAATAGCTACAGCTCACTGACTTGCCTGAGAACAACCATGCCCTACAGCCCCTATCATCACGCACCAACTGAGGGACCCTGTCCCAGCCTTCAGTAAAACCTCATTGCCTGGAGTGACACATCTCCAAAGCCAACTCTTAGAAGCAGCAGCGTATATTCTGTGAGATGCGATGTTTTCCCCTCACCTAATGGTGACATCTGTTTCAAGACCATCCCCACCATGTTCAATTGTCTTCTGAAATGACATCTCAGTGTTTTCTGGTGCCAGCTGAAAAAAAAAAAAGCACATGAGCAGATCATTTTCAAACACACTCTGGGGGACTCTGTAAGTACTTTCTGTCTCTTTGTAACACTTCTGTTTTTTATTAAGGGACCATCATTATCTTCTTAAAGTCTACAGTTTGTTTTCTTCCACTTTAGCCACCAAACCGATCTTGTCCATCAGAAACAGTGTTATCCTTGTTAGCAAACCCATGCAGTGATGCCTTTGGCACACAGTCCCAAACAGAAATGTCTCCCCTTCCACCCTCCACAGATTTAATGGAAAAAAACAGAAGATGATGATGAAGGTAGCAAGACACAGGATGAAGAAATGATGTACAGTAACTTTTCCAGACCTACCATTGGTGCTCCACGGTGTCCAATGAGGGCTGGCTTTGGTCCAAGTGTCCCCATCTCTCTGATGCAAGGAGAGTACATCCCCAGAGGTATCAAGAAAAGAAAGAGAAGGATAGCCAGGTATGGACCAACAATTATCACCTGAACAACTGAAAGAATTTGAAGGAGGAAGGCTAGAGTTAATCCATGTGGTAATGTACGGGTTTGCCTTGCGGCTTGACTTTTAATACAGCCCTCCAGCTAAGTAGCTGTTGGGCTTTGTCCCATCCCTTTATCCATCCCTTGTCCCCCTAATTTTCACTTTCTCTCCAAACAATGCAACCCAGGAAAACAAGCTGGTCAAAGCAAGGATGTGGGCTGTCTGAGTCAGGACTGCAGGTTTTGTGCTTTAATTACATCTCACTATGCCTCCCAGCAAGACATGGCCTTAATTTCTTTTTCTTGAGAGGTGGTGCAATGAAATATCCTCCATGTGTACAAAACCGATCCTCAACAGGAGGATGCTAATTTTTTTCTTACTCAGATAAGAACAAGCAACATTTTGAAGTTTCATTCACAGTGAAGAAGAGGAGGAACCTTTCTCCTTCAACTATGTTACATCCCCTTAAGGTGAATACTTCCCTAGTTCGTTCAGGTTGCTGTCAGTGACCTTCTGTGTGTGACCTACAGAACCTTACAGACTCTGACTGCACAGGTATTGCCTCTCAGAAACCTGTCAACTCATTACCTAGGGTTTTCTCTGGAGTCTGTTGACACATTGCCCCAGAGCCCCAGTGAGCCTTCACCTCAGGGAACAAAACAGCTCCTCTGAGAAATGAGCACCTATGCACCAACATCTCTTTCTTGAATGGGTACCACCACCCCTCTGTGCGTTGTACCAGTGGACTTACACCAAGCTGGTGTATTGATCTGAGAGTCCACTAGGCACGGTGGACTGTAACATCTAGGGTCCCAGCATATTCCCCACACAACCTCCCCAGCTGTAGTTTAATAAGAAAAATCCTGGGCAGGGAAAAAAAAATGCTTTCACCAGCCCATTCTGTCTTTGATTTTGATTACAAATCAACATCTGCAGATGGGTGTCATGTAGATAATTTTGGCTATATGGAGAGACTAGGTCAGAGATAAACAGCCAGTCCCAGAGCCAGGCTCTTCTGCAGTTGTTCCTGGCATCTGGCCCACTACTTGGTCACACTTCTCAGAAGCAGACAGAACTTGCCATGGGATAACACTAGGAACTGATCAAAATGCTCTTTCCCCTATCTCAGCTGGCTTCTTCTGAGATGCACTAGTCTGAAGTGGATTGACTGGACTGGGGATCCCTTCTGAGAGAGCAAAGCTGAGTACAGCAAGCAAAGGTCAGCTAAGAGAGCTGCTACTGGCTGCTTTCTCCTGCAGAGGGCTGACCAAATTTCCATGCATGACTCAGAACGTGGGTACTTCTGCTAACCTCCTCCATCTCAAGGCAGGTCATTGCCTTGGTATAGGCCAAAACTGTGCAAGGGAGCATGCAAACCAGTAGCACATCTGGACAGCCACAGGACAGTGTGCAGCCCAAGCTTCAGCCCCCCACTAATTTCCCTGGGATACACAGAGGCTAAAAGTCACCTCCAGCTGGAGTGCAGGTATGGGAGGAAAGGGCTCCTGCAACCCTGTTTTCCCACACTAATATATGTCTTTTGTCATGTAAGGAGCAGGAAGCAGAGCTACTGTACCTTTCTTATCTGCTCTGATGGCATGAAGAGCCACAGGCCAGGACAGGAGGACCATGATGGTTATTGCCCCTATGTGGAGATAGGGAGCTGTGATCTGGCAAGGAGAGAAAAGGATTTTAGTCAAAGGATGAAGTGTGGAGACATGTGGAAACAAACCCCAACACAACTACATCCTTCCATGTGGATGGGCTCCTGCTGCACATACCAGCAGTTCAACCTCTCCCCTGCACCCAGTTTGGATCCACCAAACACCTCTGCAGTTGGGGGAGAGATATGTGCCCCCAGTCAGGCCAGCTCCTCGGGCTAAGGAGTGCTCCTCACTGCAGCATGCAGCTCTCCTTTCTCCTGAGTCAGCTGAAGGGGACAAGGCTGTCCTCATCCATGAGAACGCAATCACCATTACTGCTATGCCATAATTCATGAGCATCTTCCAGACAGCAGACAGTTTAATTCAATCTAACCCAATCCAATCCCATCCAGGTAATAGTCATCTCCACACCACACTGCAGCTAAATCATTAAACTGATGTTGACAAGCCTGAGTGATAAAATGTGGTATTTACACCTGTATGGAACTAACTATTGTGGTATAAGAGAAGTAGTTAATCTGGTATGTGTCTGATCATGGACATAATTGGACTCCATGCAGCACCTAGTTTCACATATTATCAATATATTCCAGAAAAATAATTCATTTTCATTTATTTCAAAGCATTTAATTCACTTGCATGAGAGCTAATTGCATTGTTTCTCTTTTTTTTTTTTTTTTTTTTTTTTTTTACTTTTAAGGATGTGTGTAGATATTTTTGTTGATTTAGTAACACAAACCAATATATTCATTCAGTGCTTATACTATATTAGATAATACCTATTGCTGGACAGATAAAGTAATTTGACTTGATTTCTTTGGTCCTAAAGATTAAACAGGAAGATCAGAAGCTAAGAATCACTTCTCTGCTTATCATGAATGCATGAGCAGAGCAGAAAACAAAGCAGAAATAGTTTGACACTGAATGGATGCTCTTCACTCAAGTAGGGTTGATATGACACACCTTTCATAAAACTAGGCAAACCTGTCAAAGAAACTAATCCATCGTTTTCTCATGCTCATCAGTGCCCCGTGGTTTCTGTTCCAGCTAGAAATGAGTTATAAAGGCATGTGCTAGGGAAAAAATTTATTCAGATGCAAGCCTGTCCTATTGCTTAGTCCATGCCTGAGTCTCTAAGCTGGAAGGGCTGAAGAAAGCAGCAGTCACTGAGAGATGTTATTGCCTGTGATACTGTCTGCCCCGAACACTTGATACCAACATCTTTCAATTAGAAGCAGGATTCAGTTGTGTAAACAGAGGTGCCATCTGAGATGTCCAGGATATGTGAGATAGCTTTGCAAGGCTAATGGACATGACACAGGATCTACAAGAGATTCATGTCCTTTGGGAACAGCAGCAGGAGGCCGTGTGAAGCATCTCAAGGGGCATGAACACCTAAAATGAACAGCACCTGTGGGGAACCCAAAGGCTCTTGTGTCTCCTTCTCCTCATCCACCTCCCCTGGAAACACCACATCTCAAAGAGACTTCCGTAACTCTGGAGCTACCAATTGATTCCTCTTCCCATCCATATGCATTGCGCTCCCAATATTCACAAGCAGTAAGCCACATGGGGGAGAGGTGGTATGCCCAAATAACATCTGCAAGGCAGCTATGTAGTCAAAGGCTTCATACTTCCTTCCTAATACATGTGGGGACCTGGATGCTCAGACACTAAACAGCACTGGGCAGCTCTAGCCTCCATCTTCAGACCTGCTGAGAGTTGAGGGGGCCAGCAGACCATGCACTCTGACCTCCTGCATAGAATCATAGAATCGTTTAAGTTGGAAAAGACTTTTAAGATCATTGAGTCCAACCGTTAACCTATCACTGCCAAGTCCACCATGTCCCTAAGCACCACATCTATCCGTCTTTTAAATACCTCCAGGGATGGAGACTCAACCACTTCCCTGGGCAGCCTGTGCCAATGCCTGACTACCCTTTCAGTGAGGAAGTTTTTCCTAATATCCAGTCTAAACCTCCCCTGGCACAGCTCGAGCCATTTCCTCTCATCCTATCGCTTGTTACTTGGGAGCAGAGACCGACCCCCACCTCGCTACAACCTCCTTTTAGGCAGTTGTAGAGAGCAATAAGGTCTCCCCTCAGCCTCCTCTTCTCCAGACTAAACAACCCCAGCTCCCTCAGCTGCTCCTCATAAGACTTGTGCTCTAGACCCTTCACCAGCCTCGTTGCCCTTCTTTGGACATGCTCCAGCACCTTAATGTCTTTCTTGCAGTGAGGGGCCCAAAACTGAACACAGTATCCCACAGGTTGTCCCACCTGACACCAGCGTTCCCCACCTGCTCCCGAAAAAACTCAGTGCTGTCCTGCCCTCAGGACATGAAGCTCTTCTGGGTCACAGAAGACTGAGATTGTGCTAATGCTAAAGCTGCTGAACTGGCAGAAGCTGATAAGGGAGAAAGTTCTTGCTTCAGCCACCCTGCCAGCCAACGGGGTCTGATTTACCTGCCCTGGGCACCTGGAAATTAACTGTACACCTACAACATTTTTGCCAAAAAAAAAAAAAAAAAAGGATGTAACTTCCCAAATTGAGACATGTTACATCAGATAGCTTGAAACTCAACCTCAGGTCTTGGCTTCCTTTCTCCCAACAGGAAATGTTAAGTCATAATAAAAGTTCACTGAAAACCACATACCCTGCCAGGAAAACCCATGTGAAAAGCACTCACTATATGGAATACTTTCTACCAATTACCACAAAATACTTCTATAAACAAGTTGTTCTTTCAAACAGACCTCTCAGCCCCTCTTACCTGGAATGACAGGCGGACAGTTTTCCATTGATCTCCCCAGAGTACGGATAATATGAAGAGGGCTGTGATAGAGAAGCCCAGGACAAGAAAAGTCCCAATCTGAGGAGACAAAGAAGACATAAATCAGTTTCAGCATTTCTGCACTGGGTGTGCCATTCATTTGACTCATAGGCTTATTTCAGCAGCTTGGACTTGATAGGTTTGGGATGCATGAGCTTGACTATGCCAGTTCAGAGACAGAGAGATCTAATGGGACTAAAACCAGACCAACAGAGCTATCGATTGGCTTTTCCGTATGGCAAGACTGATCTTAAGAGTTGGGTACCCAACTAAGGCAAGCCCTCAAGACTGCCTCTACAATTATTGGAGAAAGAGAGGAGTTTCTAGACGTGATCCATTTCCACCTGCTTTATGATGGGAGATACCTCTCTCTCTCTGTTGGTGTAGATGGAGCCTATATGATCATCTTACATTAAATCCCTAACCTGCAGATGGCTACATTGAGAAGTGATTAATGCCACCCAAAAGAGACAGCAACACAGCTTCCTTATGCTGTGAGCTGCTTTGCAACAGGCTTCAGCAACAGCAAACACCACCATAATTAAGAGATGAGAGTTCACTTTTTAACCAAAAAAGCGAGGAGGTAGCTCAGTCTATTCTTTGGCTTCTTGCACAGTTTGGTCCCAGCACAGCTGTGATGGCAGGATCTTCTCGGTACATCATCTATCTGCTGAGAACTGAGTGCGAGTAGAAATTGGACCAAGGCCCTAACCATTCTTCAAGGGGATCCCACAGATCAACACCTTAATAATCCACCCCTAATCTCTTCCACCCAAGGATGCAGTCTCATTTTTTTTTACCAATTGTTCTACATTTTTCTGGTTCTTCTGGAAGCCAATTTTCAATAGCAAAGATGACTGTGTTTCTATTACTTAAATGATGAAACACAGGATCAAGTATCTGCACATTCAGCTATTCCCTTCCACTGCAAGATTTGCAATCACATTATATTCTTCCCTAGACTGCATGGCTAGAGGCTCCTTTTTAAATGCCTTACATAACCTCAAGGATTTCTTAAGGAGGGTGATTCTAATGCATCCTTTCGCAGCAACAGCTCTCTGAGGATTTGTTTCTGCAGCTTCAAAACTCCAGGTGGCATTTCCCAAACCACCCAAAGACCAAAAGGCATAAGGCACTGAGATGCCTTGGAAAAGCCAGATTTCTCTTCTGCAGAGATAGCAGCCATTTGTTTCACTGCTGATGGAGTCTGCTACAGAAAATTACACTGCTTCTCATGGAAACTTTGCTTTTGTATTCATGTTACCACATGTAGACGTGTCAAATATAGACATCTTCACCTGAATGAGTCATCACGAGCTCCTTTTGGAGTCAGTGGGAGAAAAAGGTACTTTAGGTGTGAGTCATCTCATCTTAATTTAGATATCTATGACCAGCTGGATGAATTGCATCCTCAGAGGATTCATTTCCCTCCACTGACTGAAGGGGAGTTTAGGTGATCAGCTCAGGTGGAGATATCGTTCTTATGGGTATCTAAAGTCTCCTAAGATTAACCTCTTCCCTCTCTTCCTTCTCTCCTGTAATCTAAGATGTTTTTCATGCAGAGAAACACCACAGACTCGATTGGTTTAAAGCATGGATTAGAGTTACCAGAAAGCCCGGATTCTCCCCACCTTGTGACTCCAGTGTAGGTACAGCTGCTGACCTTCTGCAAGCAAACACATCGCTAGGACCTGGGAAATCAAGAAAAGATTGTTTGCATCCCGGTAGAAGATGGTGAAGTGTGTTCAGTGAGGTATTTCTGGAATTATTCTTGCACTTTACACTAGGTCTTCCTGCACAATGTCAAGGCTGTTAGGACAGGTGTATGGAGAGAAGTATTTATTGCTACAGTAAAAATGCTTCTGAAATGGCCAAGCACATATCAAGGCCGCCCTGCAGGGTCAAAGCCCTTTCATGGGTAACAAATAATTGGGCACTTTGGGGTACACACTTTTAATGACTTTTCTTTGTAAGTACAAATTCTGAAAGAGAAATGATGGCCAGGATCAACTGCTATGGTATGAACCAATACAGCACTAACCTTGCCTATTTTCTGTGTATTTGTTGTGATTAGAGCCATATCAACCACGGGAGAGTGGTCAGGGACTAAAAAATGCCTCCAAAGCACCAGAAAAATACAGAGCAGACAGCAAAGGAGGCAATGCTTCCACAGTAATCACAGGAAACACAAGAGACAGGCACATCTCAGAAGAGGGAAAACTGCCTTGGAGACGAAAAGACCCTAGTTTTTGGTGGCTGGGATGTTCCTCCCCTCTGATGGCAAGTTGGAGCACTTGGGGAGGGTTCCTGTGAGGCATGGCGCAAACACCAGCCAGGGCAGGGGACAACCCAAGAAGCCTTGAACGCCAAGAAGCAAAGGATGAGGAAAGCCAGTCCATGGCTCTGATGGAGAGCTTTTTCAAGTTGACCCAGACCTAAGCATCTGATGAACCTGGTGATGAATTTCACCAGGAGAAGTACCTTGCTGCCATGAAAACGCACAGGTCTACGCTCAGGAATCTGAGTAACCTGGGGCAAGCTGCCTGACCTCTGTAAGGGACAGTTTGGGGACCAGTATCACCAGATATCAGAGTTTAAAGAAAAGTGTCTGTTAGTAGACATCAGTGCTCCACTGAGAAGGATCATTTATGATCCAGGTCCCTCCAGACTGTAACACAGTGGGATTGTGTGAAAGCAGGACATACAGATTTAGCGGAAGGGTCTCTGCTCTTCCAAAACACAACTACAAAGGAATGTAAGCTGTTTCTCATCCAACTACAAACAAGCTCTCTTTCCAGGATCATGCTGATTTGAAGCAAGATATAAACTCAGCAGAGAATACAGATCAGCTTTTAAGCACTTCTTGACACGTTAGCCTCCTTTAATTGAATCCTACATCCAGTACATGATGAGTAACCATGGGAGCAGCTCAGAGAGAATTTAATTACTGCTAAAGATCTTAAGCCAGCCCCATTTCAATAAGCCATTTCAGAAAAAGGAAGAAAAAAGGACACTTTCAAAATTGCCCCTTTTCTGCAAGCCATGTTACAAAGACCTGGTCCTTGCCTTAAGGTACAGCCAAACACTTATTTCACAGGCCATTCGCAACAGGACTCTCCCCTGCTACTGCAGTATAATTTCTGTATGAACGATGCACCACATCTGGGAATGCCATCAGAGGGTGAGCTCATTTTTATGGATGGAAACAACATCTCATTATCAGCTTACAAGAAGAATGATCACCAGGTTTCATGCTCAGAGAGTGAAGAAGGAACTCTTGCAGTTGCACCGCTGGTCACTGTAGGAGAACACATCTTGATGGACCAGTGAGCTGATGTGATGTGAACAAGGTTTATCCTCTGGCACAGTCAGCTTGAGTTGTCTATGCTTTCCATGTACCCCTGAAGCTTAACATCTCAAGCCACAATAACCTACTTTCATCCTGCTCCTCAAAAGCTGCTTCAGGACCTGTCCAATATGCTCTTCCATGGAGAGCAGCTGCCTTTAGCAATGTCCCGCAGGCTTGCACCTGGAGCAGGACTTCCTCAGGGAAAGGGAAAACCAGCAGCACCAGGTCTGGCTTTTCCAAACTGCTTCCATACATATCCTGGGATTGTCTAATACAAGTAAACAAACGTGTGGGTTTAGGTGACCGATATGTGTCTGACTATTACTTCTGAGGCTAGAGCCAAGGTCCCTCTTGCCAGCCCCATCATCTCCCTGAATCTTACTGCCTCCAACACTTGCATTCTTCTCTTCTTTAGTATGAGGTGTGGAAGCATCTCCCCTCCACCATCTATGTGCAAAGTGGTCATTAAGGGATGCTTTCCAGTGGCAAGAGAGATGGATTCGCTGCAAGGGGGATTGCACCTCTGTCTCCCTTTTTTTAAGTGGGTGCATTGACCACAAGGTTATACTGCAAAAGGATGGACAATAGACCTTTAACCCCTCTCTACTTCAGCATGGGAATGACCTTATGTTTATTTCAATACGTCTGGTGAGGCTTAGGCAGGCTCTGAACCTACCACCACAAGGACATGGAGGCAGGCACCCAGACACTCAGCTCACCTAAAACATCTGCTCACTTAGATGTTCACAGCAGCAGAATTCAGGTCCCTACATTCACTTTCTGGCAAAAATGCAGCAACTTAGAACATCTCTGCTACCCCAGTCTCTTGGGGATGGAGGTTTGAGATCACTTTTTGGACTTCAGTGCCATTTTGAGTTCTTAGCCTACAACTGCAGAGGCCACAACACACCTGAACCTCTTTATATTGTACAGTCACAAGTCACCTCCTCAAAACCTTTGGAACAAACATGGTTGAACTGCAGAGAGGAAAATATTATGTTGGTGTTTGAAAGACTGAACAAGAAAAGTTCTTTCTTCTCCACTGAGCATGAACTGTTCTTCAATTAGACCCCTCAGCTTAACCTTTTAGCTCTAATGGGGATGAGAAAATTGTCTTGCAGAGTGATAACAATTGAATTAATTGAAACTGATTGTCTGAAAAAAATTACAATGATGCATACGGACAGAGAGTGTCTTTGCACAGACAGCAAGCGCTTGGTTGTGCAGCGTTTTATTCAGCTGCTGGTGGCCAGTGGGCAGAAGAGTGTTTGCTTCAGTGGTTCACAATAAGGTCATGGAAGCAGGCTTGCAGGCTCCAGTGGGGTGCCAGCATTAAGGAAGAAGGTATGGTGCTCACAAACAAAAGCAGATCTGCCACTGGTTGCTATAAAATCTCTCTGCTCCAACGAGGTCATCAGTGTGCTCAGTTTTCTGATGCAATGGGCTGTTGATGCAAAACATCGCAAGGAAGCATTGCCTGGGAGAAGGTCTCCAGTCCTTCCTGCAACACGTGCAGGGATAGTCTCCATCCAACACTGTTCAACCAGAACATGCAATGTAATTCATCGTGGGGGCCTTTTCGGCCATCAGTTGTCTGAAATGTATTAGAGCGATCCAGCTCTCATCTCATACCCACAATGATAGATTTATTTAGTTATGGAAGGGCTGAGTGGCACTTACTAGCCTGTGAGGCTGTCAGTGTTTTTCTGGGTGGTTCATCAACAGCTACAGTGAAAGGCCAGACACTGTGATGGGGAAGCTCTGCAAACAAGAGACGGAAGGGTGATTCCTAGCAGGTCCTGTTCAATATCTTCATTGATGATCTGGATGAGGGGATTGAGTGCACCCTTAGTAAGTTTGCAGATGACACCAAGTGGGGTGGAAGTGTCGATCTGCTGGAGGGCAGGAAGGCCCTACAGAGGGACCTGGCCAGGCTGGGTCGATGGGCCCAGGCCAACTGTATGAGGTTCAACAACGCCCAGTGCCGGGTCCTGCACTTGGGTCATAACAACCCCAGGCAACACTACAGGCTGGGGGAGGAGCGGCTGGAGAGCTGCCCAGCGGGAAAGGACCTGGGGGTGTTGGTCGACAGCTGCCTGAACATGAGCCAGCAGTGTGCCCAGGTGGCCAAGAGGGCCAATGGCATCCTGGCTTGTATCAGGAATGGTGTGGCCAGCAGGAGCAGGGAGGTGACAGTGCCCCTGTGCTGGGCAGTGGTGAGGCCGCCCCTCGAATGCTGTGCTCAGCGCTGGGCCCCTCACCCCAAAAGAAGGCCATGGAGGGGCTGGAGCATGGCCAGAGCAAGGCAGCGAGGCTGGGGCAGGGGCTGGAGCACAAGGCTGGGGAGGAGCGGCTGGGGGAGCTGGGGGTGCTCAGCCTGGAGAAGAGGAGGCTGAGGGGAGACCTTATTGCTCTCTACAACTCCCTGCAAGGAGGCTGTAGAGAGGTGGGGGTCGGTCTCTTCTCCCTAGTAACAAGCGATAGGACAAGGGGAAATGGCCTCAAGCTGCACCAGGGGAAGTTTAGGTTGGATATTAGGAAAAACTTCTTCACCAAAAGGGCTGTCAGGCATTGGAACAGGCTGCCCAGGGAAGTGGTTGAGTCTCCATCCCTGGAGGTATTTAAAAGATGGGTAGACGTGGTGCTTGAGGACATGGTTTAGTGGTGGGCTTGGCAGTGATAGGTTAACGGTTGGACTCAATGATCTTAAGGGTCTTTTCCAGCCTTAACGATTCCATGATTCTATGAGTCCTTCTCTGAAAGGAGCCCTGCTGGGATGAGCATGGCCAAGCCACAGTTGTCATCACAAGACCCTGCATGCAGGTGTGCGACCATCGTATGACCTGCATGCTTTGAGATAGTGGGAGCATGAATGGTGGTGGTGATTGCTTTCCTCACTCCCCTCTCCTTCAAGACCTAATCCTATGTAGGTAACAGCTCTGATGGTTTGGGGCCTCATGACTCCCAACGCTCACTGCTCAACATAGATACGTGCAGCAATCTTGCCAAATGAGACACGATGACATGGTGATGCAATCAAGCAGGGCAAGTGCCCTTAAAAATACCCAGTAGCTTTGGGTGGGTCGCTTAACAGCTTCATGAAAGCAATGAGCAAATGGACCCTCACTGCAGGGGCTGTCCCCAGAGCAGAAGAACCTCTGAAGTGTTTCTCTTATAGGACTTGTCTGATCCAAACGCCTTGTATTCTTTCAGGTTTATCTGTTTCACCCTCCTGAGGAAGGCAAGTGCTGTTAGCCTCATTAGATAGAACTGAGATGCTGAGAGGAGGAGGATGTGTCTACACAACAAAGAGTCTGACCAAGACTGAACTGAACCATGTAGGACACCAATTTCGCCTCCTGTTTTCCATCTACATATCTGGCTTCACTTTGCCCACCATCTGCCCTGATAGCTTGCAGCCATCACATCCATGCTGCCAAAGACATGAAACTCCTTTAAGAAACTCCACTGCTTGGAAACTGGCTCATGTTTGGATCCAGACAGAGCATGACTGAGCTGACACACCAGCCCCAGGGGTCTTCAGGCTCCTCGAGCCCAGGAAATCATCTAAAGTCCATTTCTAGCATGTGCTATGATGGGTGAGTCTGATCCTGAGCTTGACTCCAGATCCACAGCCTGCTGAGTTATGGTCTCAGAGGCATGCATGTCACACGGGCATCTCTGGCAAAGCTCTGATTTGCCCAAAGTAGCATTGCAAATGCCAAACCACCCACACTGTCCCATAACCACTGGGGAAGCCAGGTAGGCTTTGCTGAATAACAGACGTTTAGCCTTGAGCCACCAGGGTGTCACAAAACCCTCGAAATTAAATATTGTTATTTGTCCTACTCAGAGCTCAGTCCGCAGCATTTATGATGCTATTGATCACTGTGGGTATGGCCAAGCAGTTGCCCTATTTATCATTTTGGTATTTTATTGCTAGCACTAGAATAAAGTCAGTATTTATTTGCACTTCAGCAGGGACAAAGGACCCCAGAAACCTGTTGCGTTAGGCACTGCATGAACAAAGCAAAAAGAGATTCCCTGCCATGAGCAATTTACAGACTGACTATATGATGACACATCAGGGAACGGGTAAGAACAGAGGTGAGTCAAAGCTATAACCTCATTGTCAGCACCTGGCATTTCAAAATGAACGTTGGAGCAGCCATGAGACTGATCACAGACTCCAGTTCCTGGAGTTAAAGTGATTTCTTAGTCTATAGCTCTGGATGCAGAGGGTGGAAACACAGATGCAGATCTGTCTTTATTTGGGGGGGTCCCTATGAGAGAAAGGACAGGGAAAAAGGATGACTAGGTAGAAATTTTAGGAAATGCTTGCTTTTGGTGTGTTTCCAGTAACCAAAGCAGACAACAGATCAGAATTCTAGAGAAAATTTCACATGATTTGGAAAAGTGAAGATTTCAGGAAGATTACCTCTTTGGGCATAAAGTTCAGGAGCATTTTGTGACCACGTCTGCAGTATCTACCTGGAGAGAAACCCTCCAGCAAAGCAGACAGAGTCAAGGCAGCTTCAGTGACAAAGTTCCCCTTCTTCTAATCAGCATTTTTATTCAGGATTAGAGGAATAACACAGCTTTGACAACTTATCACCACCGCCACATGACTTGGAGCCCCATACTTCCCTGCTGTCAAAGCAACAATCTTTAGCTTCCCCTACATCTAAATCCAGCCACTGCTGGCTTGGCTTTCCTTGGGTTCAAGGAGAGACTGAACACATTTATCAAAGGGAAATCATCGAGAGAAATCACAGAAACTACATCTGGCTCAGAGACCCTGCGAGCTGAAATTGGTCATCTGCAGGTGGACATGGGGAGAAAGTACCGTAAACACTTGGTGTGTTCCCAGTCTTCCCCTGGTATCCACTGTCTAGGGATCATCCGCAAGGCTAGGCTGAGTTTTTATCTGACCCATTAAAGCCATCCCTATGTTTACTTTTTAGGACTATAAATCATGGCCAGCTTACAAGGAGCTTTACTTACCAATAACAGCGTGATGTATATGAACAAGATTGAAGCCACAATCAGGAGAACGAGAGACCAGAGAAACCAGAAGCCCAGATTCCCATAGTTATACCTAAAAAGCAATAAAATATTATGGTACTGTTTGTGTTTAGCACATGGCTTGGAGGCGAAAACAGCCCTGTTCCTTGAAATTTTGAAATTTTCAAAGCAATAAAACAAAGAGGGACGGATGAATAACCTACCCTGTAACACGCAAAGTGGTTCAGAGCCTCCTGCCCCAAATCCATGATTTCATTACCCACCAGACCAATACCCCAATGTGCTGGGGTGGTAAAATACAGGACCAAATTGATGGCCTTGCTCCAGAGAGCTCCTAGCCTGACTGTAAGACACAACAGATAAGGCAGCCTGGGGAAACAGTAAGATGACATGACCCAGGCCAACAGCCCACCTTGTCTGCTTGTGGTTGTGCAGGGCACTGCAGCAAAAAGGGGATTTGAATCAGGTTTTGAAGGAGAAAACACCAGAAAGCTGGAGGAGCTGCAGAGGGATTGCCCAAGGAGAGAGAGAGAGGGGGAAGCTTTACTTTTTACCCAAAGGCTCAATAAGGATGAGTAATATTATTACAGCTTTCCTCCCCATAATATCTGAGCTGTTTTAATTTAATTTTAGGGGCCAGATTTGCATAACTGTTACCTACGTACTGCAGAAGGAAAGGATTTGCATAAATCCCTGCCAGTTATTTCTTACTTTCAAGCCTGGGAACATGCAATTCTCTTTGCAGTGAGATAGCTGGTGCAATGCCTCTGATGCCAGCCACTACATTCCTTCAGAGGGAACGGGGAGGGGGGAAAGACTCAGAGAAGGAAAGGGAAGAGCTATGTAGTCCCCTTCACTCACAATTTTTGTGATGCTGGTTCTCCCCTTTCTCCCAAATTCACACTTAAAAACTGTAGCTAAGCAAAGTGCGGAGTCTCAGCACCTCTGAAGTCACTGGACATTCAATTTGGATGCTGTAACCAAGAATTTAAGGAGCCAAATCTTTGGCTCATGGCTGAAGTGCCCTGCTGCAGCACAGCTGCTGGGAAGGATGCTTGTCTCTTCCAAGCCACCCTGGGGACCTGCCCAAGGAGTGGGAGAGGAGAAAAAGATGGTACTTACCAGTCAAAGTTATTGTAGTCATTTTTCGCTTCACCCCACATGTACAGAAAGACCAGAGAAAAGCAGAAAGCTCCAACAAGCAATGGGAAAAACACGCATTCCCGCTGGAGAGGGAGAGGAAGGACAAGTGGTCAGAGCCTTATCTACCCTAAAGCAATCAGAGCAAACGGCAGACACTTTTAGGATGTCCATAGAACATGTGGCTTGGTGCTGGACATCCAAGAAGCAGAGATGGAGATGACTTCCCTCCCCTGTCCTCTGTGACCAGGGGGGTGGCCTCAAAAGCGTATTCTGCAGTATTTATTTGCAGAGAAAACAGATCTCATGACTTTGCAAATGAACAGGATTTTAACCACCTCCTGTGAGAGGGAATTGCACTATGCTGCAGCCCTCTACAGTATTTACTGCACACCCAGCCCAAATTTTCCTCCTTTAATTTGATCCTATGGCTTTGAGATGTTTCACTGGCCTGGAGGGTTTGGTGCAAGGTTCTTAGAATCATAGAATGTCCTGAGTTGGAAGGGACCCACAAGGATCATCGAGTCCAACTCCTCTCCCTGCATAGGACAACCCCAAAATTCACACCATATGTCTGAGGGCGTTGTCCAAATGCTTCTTGAATATTGTCAGGCTTGGCGCCGTGACTACATCCTGGTAGCCTGTTCCAGTGCTCCACCACCCTCTGGGTGAAGAACCTTTTCCTAATGTCCAACCTAAACCTCCCCTGGAAGATCTTCCTGCCATTTCCTCGGGTTCTAAGGTTCTTTCCTACCACCACACATTGGTTAGCTGCGTGGTGGCACAGACAAACTGACCCTGCCATGGAAACACAGCAATACATCAATCTCTTAGAGCCAAAATCTAACAACCCAACAGATCTCAGTGGGCTCCAAATGATGCTGGGCAGGGATGCCTTTGGCCCATGGCATCAACCACTTGTCAGCTTGGACTGACCTGTCCCTACGCAGAAAGCAATGTCTGTACTGATTTTGAGCTAATTTACCGTCTTGCAGCAGCATTTCCCAGGCTCGGTCCTTCCACGCTGGTACCGCTTCCACCGGCAGCTATAGAAACCAGCCAGGCAGGAGATGAAGGGCTGATGCTCGTACCGCTGTAGCAAGTGCCGTCGTACCACCTTCAGCTTCCCAAACTTGAGCCTCTTGAGGCTGGTGGAACTGGCCTCCATCTGAGTGGCTTTATCTCATCTTCCTCCTGAAGCAAAACCACAAGTTTTACGGGGCGACTGTAACTCTCTTTTCTTTCTGGGTAAGTTTTTCATATCAGAAAAAAGAGAAAGTTTTCTCAAGAGGATGCTGCAACCAGCAGGGAAGGGTGCTGAAGACACCCCACCTAATTTTATATACCTAAGCGAGATGTCTAACAGAAAAGCATGGTCATTGCAAGTCCCCTCAGCAGTCAGTGGTGCTCCTGGTTGGAACTGAGGTGCTCCAAATCACCTCTGAGGGAACCTCTGCCTCCTTTTGACCACACAGGGAGCTCTGGGAAATGAAATCACTAACTTAAGCACTCTGTGCAGATTCACAGCTTATGTCAGGTGAACCTGAGCCTAGGCTTAGCCATGGGAATTAATTCAACATCACCGTGACCTGGCTGCTTTTGTAGGAAAGGGACTAAAACTCTCCAGGTACGCAGGTCTCTTGTCCTAGCAAAACTGCAGCACTGCAGAGACTGATCCCTTAAGAAAATGTTGTTTCTTGACTGAAATAACTTTACTTGGCACAGTTTTTCAAAGGTAGAAAGAGTAGCTGTAAAGGTGCACACATGGGAGAGCTGTTCATAATCAATATTTTAAACAAAAAACTTGGCAGTAAATTGCAACCAATGTAGTTACCAGTGAAACGGATAGCACGGGGGTTGTGCCAGCAAAGAGTGGTTCACCCGGCACGGCACTATCAAGACTACAAGGAAAGATTTAGAAAAAAAAGTCTTGCATTGGCATACAAAGAAGCACCATTATCCAGCACTTCCTTAGCATACAGAGGTAGACAGAGACGTTTTTCTGTTGCGTTAAAAAGTGCCATGTCCAAATCCAGGCATGTCTGCTGCAGATTCCCAGCCTAGAACCCCAATTTCCCTGATTTATCTGATGCAATAACAAGAGTGAACAATTTGCTGCACTATACACATGGATGAAATGCACAAGTAAATTGTTTGCAAATAACTCAGAGCCCAGTGTGCCTTTGCAGAAATCAGTGGATAAATCCTTGCAAATTGACACCAATCAGTTTGCAGAAGGCACAAATAAAATGGAGACACAAGATGCAAGTTAAAACTGAAATGATGCATCCCTGGTACCCTTTCCAAATGTCCCAGTCTGTTGGCAGCTGGGGTGCAAGGAGAGAGGATGGGAATGAAACAAAAGGGGTTTCAGTTTGGACCGCTACTAACCGAGCAGTGCCCAAGCGTGCCGTGCCCTGAATGCTTTCCTGAGACAGATGCCCATCCAGGACAGTCACAGGGAATCACACACTTGTGGATGTGGTGGGGTCAAGCCATCCCTAGAAGATCAGCAGTATCAGATCTGGGCACCAGTAGGTCACCCCATAGTAAAAAATTGATGCCAATCTCATGTGGCAAGATGGTGATCCTGCTCTTGAATTACCCAGAGCACAGACGGGGGGGTGCGGGTGTTACGGCCCTGGTGAGTGGTGCAGACGACAGCTGATCCTGCTCTCCTCATCAGCCACCCTCAGGTACAGCTGGCATAAACCCAGCAGTTACCAAGTTACCCCAGCCACATCTTTCAAATACATTTGAACCTTCAGAGCTCTTACCAGAAGGGCGTCACGTGCCATGGGATTGCAGTATTTGTTACCTCCTATGCGGATCCCTAAACCATGAGTTGCCCTATTGCTGAACCACAGCATCAGTTCTTCCCCTGCCCTTCTCCTTCAGCAAAAGGAATTCAGGACACTGGATCAAAATCCACAGTTTTGCTGGCAGAGGCCATGAGGTTTGTTACTCACATTCCTGGTGTGGGCTCGAGGCTGATACATCAATATTTACCTATGAGCACATAGGATTTGACAGAAAAACAGAGATAACAGGGAGCTCAAAACACTGTTAGCTCCATCTGGCTGGCTACAGCAGCATGTCAGGTGTTAGTCTACCCCTTATAAAAATTGCCAATGATGGAGATCCCACCAGCTCCCAAGATAGGCATTAAAAGGTTATTTCGGATTTTTTTGCCCAAAGTCCAGTCTCCTGCAGTACAGTTTAAGCCCACTACTTCATGGCCTGTTCATGGTGGATATAAAGAACAGTTTAAACTTTTCCTCTGTTACACATCTCACAACTGTTTGGATGTCTTCCCCCAAGCCAACTCTAGACTGAACAACCCCAGGTTTTCTAGTCTTTCTTCAGAGTTCATGTTTTCTCTGCCTCAGAGCATCCTCGTATGGATTCTTCTTGCATTTCCCATGGTTTTTGGCACATGGTAGCCATAATAGGACGTAGTGAACAACCCACAGCCCCTCCAGGGCAGACCTGTGTGCCCATAGCACAGGCTACTCAACACTGGCAGCATCCAGTTTCTCTTGTGTATATCAAACACATCATCTGGCCTCGGTCATCTGAATGCTTAAATAATTCACCCTGAACTCACCCCCAGTGGCAAGGGAAAGGTGTTTTCAGCTTTATGCACCAGAGCACTTAAGAACATCTCTATAATTAAGAATTTAATGAACTCCTGCCTTAGTCTTTCCTGTAAGTGACCTCTCCAAGCCCAAGGGTTGTTGGGGAAGGGCCCCTTCATCGCAGGGGAGGCTGGGGAAGGAGGAAGAGAGGAACACAGCCTCCTTTCCACAACCACCTCCATCAGTCCCTAGCCCTCCCAAAAACATCAGGCTGGCCAAAGAAGAACAAGAACCTTTGTGTCTCATGTCCCTTCAATCCTCATTGACCCTGTTGTCCAAGATGTTTACCAGTACCACTATAGCAGTAACACCTTTCACTATCAAGAGATTTAAAGAGCTGAGCCTGGGCACCTCAAACAAGGTCCTCAGGGCATGGTGGCACCCAGCCCTTGCCAAATTTTGGGAAGCAGCGCTTATGAGGCTTAAGTTTAGGCATTTGCGTTTGCAAATTCTGTGTCCAGGAAAACAATTATTTGGAACTGTTTATAAGAAGGACTCCATGACTCTCTCCCATCTTTTGCCAGCATCTGTTCTTACTAGGGGATGAGAGCTACTGTGGATGAAATCCTCCTCTGCTCAAAAGAGAAATGGCTATGCACAAAAGACCTTGCAGTCACCTGCCAGACCCATCCAGAAAGAGAACTAGAGACCGACAGAGGCTAGAGACCAAGGAAGTCAATCTACCTGTTCTATCACATCTAGCGGGATCAGCAAGCTCTCATCCAAAGCAGAAACCGCTCTGCCAAGCCCCAGGTCGTGACTTGACCCAGGGCTGCTCCTGCTCCCTCTGAGCATATGGGACGCACATAGGAAAAACCAAATGGGACACTTGGAGCCACTCTGCCCCGCAGCTGTAGGGGCCTGCTGGGTCTCTGCTGAGGAACAAAGCACGGGAGATGCTTGAGACCCCAGACAAAAGGCAATGCTTGTGTGTAGATGCAAAGGAAAGAGTTGACAGGGACAAGGAAAACCAGAGCCAACGCACCAAATATTTGGGCTACTTCACTCTGAAGGCAGTGACTCCTAACAGGAGCTCATCTCCCTCTGCAGCTCTGTGGGATGCAAGTATCTGCGATGCATTTACACCGTGCTGTTGCTGGTATCAGCAAACACTCCAGTGGCGACTCCAGGAGAAACCCCTCTTAGTGGTGACAAGTCCCATGTGAGGATGAGGAAGGCAAAGGCAAACACAAGGGCAGCCAGAAAGGTCCTTCTCAGCTTAAAATGTACTCAGATCTCCAGGCACTCCTTTCTTCTCTTTATCGGTGTCCTTCCAGAGAAGTATCACTCCTTCCCTTTTACCTCCACACTTTCTCCCAGGTTCAGGTGCACCTCCATATGCTCATATATTGTGTTTAGTTTAATGCAAACTCCCTCCTTACACCTCAGCCGCTCTTCAGGTCCCCCCTGACCCTCCATCCCACAGTTTCCTCCTTGCTCACAAATTACCAGCCTGCTGTTACAGCTGCGGTGAGGCATTCAAAAGCCATAAAAATGTCTGTCCCAAGGTCGGGCTGAATCTGCCGTGCCTCAGATTGCATCAAACATTGAAGCATTTGAATTCACAAAATCTGGCCCTAACAAATATCCCAGCATCTGGACCCAGCAAGCGCTTAAGGGACAAACACCACCACAACATACCGTAGATGCAGAGGCCAAAAGACAGGAGGTCTGCATTAGGGTTTGGAGCAGTTCAGTCACTGCCATGAAGTAGCAAGAGGCCTTACATCTTGCTTTGCATCTAGATTTGAAACGGAGTGCTCCTAAAATTTAGAGGTCACCTGCAATCCCTGCCCATCTCTGCCAGGCAAAGGTAAATGGATAGAGGAGGAAAAGAGCAAACCTGAATCCATTCACTGGGAAAGCCATGGGAGCAAACAGCAAGCAGGAAAACATGCATCAGGAGGAGAGCGAAGTTTAGGACTCCTTAGCAAGTGAGCTGTGAAAGCGGTAACATATGTTTTTCAGCTCCATAAACCCAAGAGATCTCAGGTCTTTCCCTTGCAAACAGAGACTTTGTTTGCTCGCGGATAAGAGTCCCCGTCACTGCAGGCAGTTGGACAGGGCTGCTCGTTTCCCACTGCTTGACAGAGAGTGAGGAAAAGCATGAGAAATAGCCCCGGGGGGATGATGGAGGAAGGAGCAGGGGAGAAATAGCAGGAAACATATTCAGCTGCACGGGCTGAATGCAGCAAGTACTGCAAGCGGAGCTTGCTTGAGAGGCCAGAGCACGAGCAAGAGAGAGTGCCCTCATCTTTTTTTCATGCTGTAAAGCTGGGGCATTCATCTTTCAATGGGTAAACAGGTACAGCAGCCAAATCTGGCATTGCCCTATAGCTTTTTCTTCGGACCTTTTAAGTCTATGCTTGCTCCTTTTCCTTTCTTTCTCCTGCGTTTACTCAGCTTTCTCCAACACAATATCCTACAACGTGTGGGCAGGTGGGTGCAGGGCCCTTTCCAGGTATTACAAACACACTTCAGCTGCAGGCAGAGATTTGGAAAGAAAAATATATGGGTACCAGCTGCCTGATGAGGGACATGGAGATGGTTATTTCT